CTTAAACCCTTCCATTTCTAACAATAGTTGAAGTGAAAATTTACAAAAAAAATTCCTAACGTCTTTTTGTAAAATACAACGAAATAAATATTACTATGAAAACGTCCTTCCAAAGAGGAATCATTTGAATGGTAACATCATATGATTGTATTTTAAGGTTAAAAAGTTAGGGTGAAATACCATCTCGCCATAACTAGACCTAGGAATAAGGGAATATTAATGTTGGAAGGCTATACTACCCTGTTAATCACTGGTGGACGATGCATGGTTAAGAGCCATGAATTCTCGACAGTATGCAAGTAATATACAGAACACAGGACAACACACAGCATTATGGTACAGCTATTGAGAAAAAGAATGACAACAGGCACAACTGTATTAAAACACTGTAATTCCAAAAAATCCATAGACTGTTTGTAGACTGTTCAAACAGTTTAGTTCTCAAGGTGGTTTAACAAACTTGGAGGTATTGAGAATATTGTTTTTCACTCACATCAAAAATGTTTTGATGCATACATTACAAAATACATAAATGATTGAAAGGGAGGAGTAACTTGAATAAAAACAAATCATACAGACTATTTTTGTGCAGTTCACTTTATTTCACTTCAATAATACATTTATTTTAACAAGTAAGTAAAAGTTTGCTTGATTAATAAAAAATTACAAAAGAAATGAAAAACGAACAAATCAATAGACTGATGAATTTTAAGAAATATTTTCACTTAAATGACAACAATGAAATTAAAACACTCAAGAACAATTTACTGGATAAATTATCTTTTTCTGTAGAACTAAATAATTATAGATTACATGTACTTTAAATATAAGGCATTTAACTTTCCGCTGAAAGATAAATATTGTAATAATATGATACATATCATTCTTAAATTCCTCGCACCAACACATGAAATAAAAGATTTCCACAGTATACTGTAGAATTCTACCTTTTTGGCAAACTTCAGAGAACACAGAAAAAAATTCTTTTCATGATAAAGCATTGGTAGTGGATTGAACCTTGTCAAATAATAATATATAATGATAATAATTTTATTACTTAATAATGCACAAATTCACATACGTATATGATCAAATGTGAGTAAAACAAAAAATGACTTTGTCACAAGCTTCACGTTATTTGAATAGGAATGTTTGGAGCTAAAACAAATAAATAACTGAATAAGTGTGAACCAAGATACTATTCAGGTTTTCATAGTTTGGAACTATTTACAAAAACTTTAGAGAGCTTCTAACTACTTGTATGCTTCTTGAAATTGTCAAAACTATGAACACAAGCCAATTCAAAGCAGCATGTCCATGTTACCAGAAAGGATTAAGCAGCATAAAAAATAATGTGTGAACTGGCATGAATTTGGCAACAAAAATAATATAAGTTCCCATAAGGAACTGAACACATGATTATCTGGAACCAGCCAGATATTCCAAAATATGAGTTACAAGGAAGTTCACAGAATTGTTAATTATTGTAAGTCGTTTACAAAGTTCAAATGTTGTGTATGCATTCTAGGTACTGTTTGCATTTTTTAGCCAAAAGTGACACAATACAAGATTTCTATCTTACATCTGGTCAACTGGGGGCTCCTAGCAATTGAGAAATCAAGAACTTTTGTGCACTCTTAAAACTAATTATCACCTCAAAGCAGCGTGCAAAGAAAGTAGTGTCCGATAGCCTGGGGCTAGTGGATTTTGCTATCGGGCTAGTGAATTCTGTTCTTAACTTGCCTGAAAGGCAAATGAAGTTTTTTCAGGAATTCAAAAATTACAGAAGAACTGTGATGAATACAGCTTATTCAAACATTTTTTCAGGCTAGTTGATATGACTTTTGAGCTTTTACAATCTAGCTACAGCTTGCCTGAATGGCAAGCTGTAAAACGGACTTTCTTTGTACCCTACAAAGGTTATGAAAATCTGTGTAAACCTGTAACAAAACACAAAATCTGTATTCAAGTATGTATAACTTATTTCAGTGATAATATGCAGTTTGGGTAGGTGGGGAAGCTTGTGGCACTCAAATCAAAGCACAATCATGCCACATCAAGCACAAAGAAGTACTTGCAAGATAACAAAAATAAGACTACATGTATCATCTAAGGAAACTGTCAGTGATGGTTGAGAAGTTAGAATGAATGGTACAAGAAAGGTGACTTTTACTGACACTGCTCCCACCACCTCCCTAGCTCCTGAATAATTTATGTGTGGAGCTTTAAACTTTTTGCAGTGCATCACACTGTAACAAACGGACAATAGAGGGGTCACCCTTTGCTCCCTGAATAAACTCCTCAAGCGACAGCATACCATCTTTGTTTGTATCCATCTGAGTGAAAATCTTGTTGGTACGTTTCTCAGGTGTACTTTCATCATCAGGCATTTTCATAACTGTGCCCACCATTTTGTAAATTGCTTTCACTATTTCTAGCATTTCATCCTTAGAGATGTATCCGTTACCATCCATATCATACATGCTGAATGCCCACTTCAACTTCTGCTCCAGTTTTCCACGCGATGTCACAGACAAAGCACACATGAATTCACGGAAATCAATAGTGCCATCATCATTCTTGTCAAATGTGCGGAAGACGTGTTCTGCAAACCTAGATGCATCACCATGGGGAAAGAAGCTGCTGTAGATTTTTTTGAACTCATCAACAGTAAGATGGCCACTAGGACAGTCCTTCAAAAAACCTCGGTACCACTCTTTGAGCTCAGCTTCAGTAAACTCAGTTTCTCGTTTTAAGTCTGCTAAAACTTCAGGTTTGAGTTTACTATTTTGCTTCCCCATTATTATTATTTTTTATTTTCTCTAGAACAAAAATGCAAAACAAAACAGCATTAGCTATGACGTGACAACATCCAATGTACAAAAATGCCACCTTACATGTACGCTTTTTAACATTAAGTCCAATGACATAAAAAATGAAAAAGAAGGCTCACTCTCAACCAGCAACAGTAAAAGTTATCACTATTAAACATTTACTTTTAAAAATAGGACATAACCTGTCAGCCCAAGAGTTATTTCCAAATACTCATAACATGTTTACAAACATTTCCTTGCTGTAACTTGCAAGAGATGACCATTCAACACTAACTTTGTTTTTAAAGAATGTATTTGTGTCCTTTAAATTCCCCTATCATCAGTAGACAGTGGGGCTGTGAAATAGGCATGTTTGGTCATAAAAATCATAGCAAAATAGAAAAAGTCAATGAAAACCTCTTGTTCTATGGGACTTAAAAGATACTGCAAGTAAAAGAAACTTTTTTGTCTATAAGAATGGTTTCTTCTTCAATCAGAAAACAATAAATTCAGCCCTCACTCAAGACATTGATGGTAAAGATCCTTTTATTGTTAAATGCTGAGTAGGTATTCTGTTTTCTTTGTTTTCTTTACGAAAATAGTAAAGCAAGCAGAGTAGCTGACCGATACTAATCAAGTACGCGGCGATTTTCACCCGCAGCCAGGCTACTTTTGACAACCCTGCACTGGCACAGGAAAAAACATTTCCCACAAAATAAACTAAAAGATAACACAGTTTACCAATAATTTCATCCATGAAAACTTGCACTGTGGACAAAAACAATGTGTTTCTTTTTATGTTGTAGAACCTTTTAAAATGAAAATTGGGCGAGTGATATATTTAAATTTAAGAAAATTACCACTAAAAAATACATGTCTATTCCCTGGTGTTGCCTCTGATGACAAACAATATTTTTAAAGTGATAATATTCTCCCTGGATCAATATTTCAACATCTCTTCTGTCTAAAAGCATTCCTTACTCAATTAAAAGTAGATTTTACATCTAATAGTTGATAATTCAATTAACTCAAAATATTGGTCATGTGAAACCTAGACAAAGATGGTTTGGACATTTTGAAAGAAAATTCATACAATTTTGTTTTGAAT